AGAAGCTGTATTACTCTTTCAAAAGCAGGCTCCTACTTTTTGGAATCAACAAGCTGCTGCAAGGGCTTCTGAGCCATCTCTTGGTTACTCAAACCCAACTGCAAGAACAGAGAATGGGTTTTTGCCTGTTTGGCTAGGTCTGGTCTCCCGCTGTGAGATTGGGTGATTTTTGCAATTAAAAGATTCTTTTGCTGGGTTAGGCAGAAGCCTTGCCTTCTGAGCTCTGCTGGGTGGGACTTGGATCAAACTCCTTCCACTATTTTCCCGCCGGGTAGCCTTTGCTAATGGCGACCCATTACTGTCGAATGACACTGACTTGCCCAATGAGTTCCCTTTCTACAGCATAGACAAAGTTCAGGGTCTTTTACTCCCGAATTAGGTGGCTCTGCCTCAGGCCGCAGTTTGATTTTCCTGCACTCTATTTGAAGATGACCTGTCTTCCCACAACTAAAGCACTTTCTTCTAGGTGATATAATTTGCCAATGCAGCTGCCATGAGGTCGGCCTTGTATTCCTCTGTCTCTACATTCTTGAATATCCTGAGATAATCTAGCAGCATGCCATGTTCCCTGTAGGGACACAAGGCAGTTTTACAGTGCTTATTAGAGAAATCATAAGATAGCTTATGCACTAGGTCTCTTACTGCCTGGACATTCTTTACACACTTGGAAATAGCATCTTCTAGTCGGGACACAAAGCCAGCATAAGGCTCATCATTCTGCTGTCTTATAGCCATATAACTTGGCTTTCTCTCTTCTGATGGATTTATCTTTTCCCAGGTACTTAAGCAAACTTCACATATCTGTCCTATTGTCTGTTCAGTAAACTGTAGTTGAGACTCAACTGTGATATAATTCTCATCCCCTAGCAATTGATGAATTCCTATATCAATCCCATCCTCAGCATTCTTGTATGCTCTTGAAAGGGCTGCCACCTTCCACAGCATATGATATTGCAAATATTCTGAAGAGGAAGACATCCTCGCTGAAGCTCTCCAATCTGTAGGGCTCCAGCTCTCGGACCCTGCTAGAGCCTTTATCATGCTAATTACAAAATGTGAGTCTGGGCCATAATCATTGCTTGCCTGCTTGAGATCTTTTAGCATCTTAAAGGGAAAGGCAGTATAGCGCCTTTCTTGATTCCCTTCTGGGTGCTGCTCGTCAGGCTCCCTTCTATAATTCTAACGGGATAAGCTATTCTGAGTTCTAAATCTGCTTCTTGAGCTATACTCTTCTCTACCAGTGAGAGCAAAGGTGCTTTTCTGTTCCCTAACTCTTTGCTTCTCACTTTCCGAGCCTCACTTTCTAGTTTAAATCTCTCTTTTCACTTCTTCGGATCTAACCTCCTCTCCTCCAGCACTGACTTGCTTGATAGTACAGTATTGTGATTCTCTGCGCTATATTCTGGCGGGGCAGGTGGTTCCACTCTGCTATCTCCTGATTCAAACATCACCTTCTCAGCTACACCTAAAATCTTCTCATCTGCCTGAAACTCATTCTGCCTGCTTCTCACCTGAATTAAGTTTGCGTAGTTCTGGGGCTTCACACTACTTTTCTGGTATTGTTTCTCTGCTTTCCCTACCTTTGAAAGCAAGGGAGCTTCCTGGGATTGCTTAATAGCCTCGCCTTGGGTCTTGGAATCCACTGCCCCTAGTACTTTATCACCTTTAAGGCTCCAGTCCCCCGAGGGCATATACTCTATGGCCTTGAGGTCTCTTTTAGAATCAGAGGTCTCGCATAACAAATCAATCCCTGCTTCCTAAAGTTTCATCACCTAAATCATGCTCAGTCACAGGCACTCTGGCTTGCTTTTCTAGATTTGAGCAGATACCAGACTTCTCACTAGACTGATAATCCTCATTCGCTTTCTCCTGCAGAGGTACTAAAACCATCTTAACTTGAACCCACAGAGACCACATCTCCATAGGGGTACTCTCCCCATCTCTGTGTGCCTTCTTTAAGTTAACATAGACCTCATCCCAGGTCTCTAGATCAAAAGTTCCTTCCTCCGGGAACCATGGATTATACCTTTTTACTACTTTCAGAAAACATTGCATCTTTTTCTTCATTACTTTTACACCCTGTCTTTTCAGTAAGTAGATGAGTGTACTACCATAAGTTTCACATTTGATTTTACCTTGCCCCATTGTTCTCTTTAAAATACTCATTCATTATTTCCACTACTTATCTTCCAATCCCCACAGCGGATCCTCACTTCACACAATTTTCCAATTCACTCTGCATTCCGGTGGGGCTGTACAATTGTTATATGCGATATAACTCATTGCCACGCGATGGGCGCTATTTGTAGTATTAAATTAAATTTGGAGGGGAGGGGAGGGTGCCAGCCCCACCTGCTGCTACTACTTACGGGTTCAGTAAGCACAATTGTATGGTTGATATATATACACATACATATATATGATATATCTATATATTAATATATGTATTAAAGTCATCGAGAGCATGAGAGATAAAAGAGATATTACAATGATGCAGTCAGACACATTACATTGTAGCATTGCTCACCTTAGCCCCGCTTGGTGGTCCACATGGAGAGGGGGAAGGGCAGGAGGGCAAGGGAACAAGGGAGAGAGGACGGGGGAGGAGAGGGGGAAGAGAGGGGAGCCAGAGAGAGAGGTCAGGGTGATGTAGTTTGAATTTTACTCATCTGTTTTATTGTTTTGTAGGTGATGAAAGAACAATGGTCTTTGTTGAAACTAAGAAAAAAGCAGATTTTATTGCGACCTTTCTTTGTCAAGAAAAAATATCAACTACAAGTATTCATGGGTGAATAGATTAATATGATTTGTTTATGAGGAAGTGACCTCTATTTGGCATTTATTAAGAAGTATCAGTATATCAGACTAATATTACATAATCTTTGAATTAGATCAATATTCTCTCAAATTCAAAACCGTTAGTTATTCTGCATCTCCATTCTTAGTTTTTAAGCACTACGTGGCAAGGGAGAGGGGGCTTAGTGGTCTGCCCTACCTCATAGAAGGGTCCCTGACTTAAGAACCTCTGGCCGTAGATGCAGGTCTTTCCCTTCCTGAATCCTTTTTTTCTGATACCCTATTTTTTACTTGGCATGCTTAAAAATGTCATATCAAAATAACGTTATTGACACTTTACTAGTGAACCTAAATTATTCCTGACCTTGTAGAATTCTGTAATTATTTTTGAAAAGCATTTTTGAGAAAAAAATTTTAATAAGTGTTTTAAATGTTTTTCTCAAGACGTAATGACAGAGATTATTACTAGGTGACAGTTAATGTTTACCTGTATTCTGGCTCTACTTACTAGCTGTTCCCTTACCTCTTTTATAAATGGGAATAATTGTTCCAACCTCAAATTATTATGAGGATGGAATAAAATTTTAGCATGAAAGGAAATAGAATAATATTTGGTGTGTCAAAAATAGACATTAATGGTAAATGCTTCTCTTTTTACTATTATTTACTATTATTAAAAAGTTTATGGCATGCGTTAAAATTGTCTTCAATGATTTCTTTTTCTTCAAGGGACCGGGAGCAGAGAGAGAGAGAGCAAGCTCTTGGAGATTTCCGTTGTGGAAAGTGCCCAGTTCTTGTTGCCACATCAGTTGCTGCTAGAGGACTGGATATAGAAAATGTTCAACATGTTATCAATTTTGATCTTCCCTCTGCCATTGATGAATATGTTCATCGAATTGGACGTACTGGTCGTTGTGGGAATACTGGCAGTGCTGTTTCCTTTTTTGATCCTGAATCAGATGGCCACATAGCACAGCCTTTAGTGAAAATACTATCAGATGTAAGTTAACAATTTAAAAAACAGAATCGCTAGTGTGCTTACTTTATCTTTGAAAACAGGCATTTTTGTTGTTTTGGTTTTTTTTCTTTTGTTTTGCTCTGTCTTGTTTTTTGTGCTTATTATTACTTCTGTATGTCTATCTAGATAAGATAGGTGGGATAAAGAATCCGGAGGAGAAAACAATGGGACCAATGGTTTAGTTGGGGACATGGGAGGGGGGAGGCAGGGGAAATGAGAGGGGATCAACCAACCTGAGGACAAGGGAACAACAAGTGATCTAAAATCGATGGCAAGGAGGGTATAGGTTGCCTGGTATGGGTTGATCAAGAGCAATGTAGCTGAGAGGAATTACTGAAACCTGAATGAAGGCCAAATATGATAGTGGAACAAGAGGAAAATAAAAGGAAATAGAGTAAAGAACTAGGAGGCAGAGGACATTTAAAGAGGTCTAAGTACAAACGTGTACATATGTAAATATATATAAGGATAGGGAAATAGATCCATGTACATATATTTATATGTTAGGTATTAAGGTAGCAGATGGACATGTGGTCTCTACTCAAGTACTCCCTCAATGCAAGAACACTTTGTTCTAATAACCTTGGATTCCATGATGCTCACCTTCTCAACATAATCCCTGAGACAGTGGGTGGATAAGCAAATGTGGTGAAGAAAGCTGATGGTGCCTGGCTGTCAAAAGATAATAGCATCTGGGGTCTTAAAGGCTTGAAGATAAGGAGTGGCCATCTAGCTGAGAAGCAACAAAGTCCACATGGAAGAAGCACACTATCGTGTGATCATGAGGTGACAGTGGGATCAGGAATCAGGCTTCGAAGACCTGGAACAAAAAAAATCATATCAATGTGAATGAGGGGAAGTGTGGAGTGGAGACCCAAAGCCCATCTGTAGGCAACAGAACGGTCATAAGGAAGAGACAAGCCAGTCATGGTGCAGTATATCACCGATGAAACATACAACTATCCACTTGTTATTTAATGCTTCCTTTCCCTCCCCTCACTGTCATAAACCCAGCTAGACCAGAACATGTACACTGGTACAGATAAGAGCTGGAAACAGGGAATCCAGGACAGATAATCCCCTTAGGACCAATAATGAGAGTAGCGATAATGATAACAGGAGGAGATGGGGAAGGTGGGGGAAGGAAGGTGCAACTGATTACAATGATCTACTTATAACCCCCTCCCAGGGGGACTGAACAGAAAAGTGGGAGAATTGAGACATCAGTCAGTATAAGACATGGAAAAATAATTTATAAATTATCCAGTGTTCATTAAGGAAGGAAAAAAATGAGCTGTTACCAATGGCTAAACTGTAGAAAGAAAATGTTTTGAAGATGATGACAGCATATGTACAAATGTGCTTGATACAGATTGATGTATGGATTGGTTAAGAGGTGTATGAGCCCCCAATAAAATGATTTTTTTAAAAAGAAAATTGACATTTTAGCACATGTATATACACAGGAGATATCTATGCATGCTAAATATGAAATTATTGTTTTTTAAAAGGCACAACAGGATGTTCCTGCTTGGTTGGAAGAAATTGCTTTTAGTACATTTGTTCCTGGCTTCAGTGGTAGTACAAGAGGAAATATCTTTGCATCAGTTGATACCCGCAAGGTTGGTTGAGGGGAAAATTTCAGACCTGGGCTTCCAGTTAATTTTTATAAATGGAAAGTGACTATAATATATAATTTAAGCAATTATTTTCATGCCTAGAAGGTAGCTTCTTTAATATTTTTTAAAGTTTATGTCCATATGCATATTTGGTTTTGAAGGTTAATGAATTTGAGATACATGTATGAGCACCCTCCTTTCCCTAATTTGTGTAGCATTTAAAATTCTAATTTGGGAATATTCCAAATTTTATGCTGGGAGCCGTGATATTTGGAATGTGATTACATACCTAGTTAAATAACAAAATAGATAATTGTATTACCTCCCAATAAAATCATTTTGGAAAAAAAATATGAGTCATTGGGCATCTTTTTTGATGTTTCAGTTGTATAGGCAGTGCCATCTTTATGCAGAGAGAAGTAGCACACTCATTAAATATTTATACTTATTCCGTGAAGGGTATAGTGCATTAAGTTTTCTGCTTGTCAAACGTATTGGCTTAAAATGCTTTTCTTGGCATCGTTTGTACAATTTAGACTTCCAGGTTGACACTGGCTTTCTTAATTCAGTGAGAATGAAACTCTTAATATGTTTTTGAGGAGACGTAGTAGAGAGCATGAGGCCCTGCTATTCAACATGGACACTAAGCTGTCCTATTGTTAATTTAATTTTAGTAATAGCCTCATTGTTATAGCAACAGCATTGTAGTAATTATAGGACAGTTATTCTATTTTTATATTTTACTGTGTTTTATTGACGTTTACACTGTAAATTCTGTTAAGCAGTGCCTGTACATCGTGTTCAGTGTCATTGGTCACAGTTTCCACATTGTCTGAGCATTCTCAGTTACCTTCTGGTGGTTCTGCTTCCATTACTTTAGCTTCTTTGACCTCTGCCCCCATTACTTTCTCATCCCAGCTTTAATTTCATTGATGACTGTTCAAAAGAAGTACGGTATTCACAGGGGAGATTGCTTGTTTATCTTATAAATTGATCCGTTAATTAGCTGAAAGATGACCTGGTACAATTTCAGTACAGGATTTAAAGGGTGGCACTTTAAAGTATTTTAAATTTTAATTTTTTTTCTTTCTTTTTAAAGAATTTCCAGGGAAAGAGCACTTTGAACACAGCAGGATTTTCTTCTTCGCAAACTCCCAATCCAGTAGATGATGAGTCATGGGATTAAATCTAAAACACTCAAGTTTGTGGTACAGTTTTGATGCATACAAGAAAATAGTTTTGATTTTTGAATTTTTAACAGAAGTGTGAAAGCTGACACTCATATCTCCTGTCCTTCTGTTCTCATTCCCACCTTTGAAAAGAAATTCGTATTGACTAGTTAATGTGAAGTGCTAAAAGTTATAACAGCATTACAGTTGCTGATACAAATGGTGTTGACTGGGAAGATTAAAGCATTCTAAATGTCTTGCTTATTTTTAGTGTATTCTTCACGAGTTTTAGACATACTGCATGTCTAAACCCTAAGTCTTACTGTATAGTGTTTATTGATCCTATGAAACAAGCACAATAGGATATGATGCATCTTTGGTTAGAAATTAGTGGGTCTCATTTGTACTTAGCAGAAGCCTTTCAAGCCACAAGTGCCATTGTAATGTGAAAACGTGATTTCCATGAAGCTAACAGGGGAAGACTTAAGCTTTTCAAGGTGATTTTGACTTTAGATCATCAGATATGCGATGAAAATGGTTAAATATTTACAATGTGAGCTCTGTACTGAATAAAATACCTAATGCTTGTTTTTATTATGTACAAACTGTCCTTGAAAATAAAGGCTGAAACACACTTTTCCCTCTTTTGTAATAGCACTTTTAATCTTTCTTTGTTAGTTACAGCTTTCAACTCTTATATTTTGAGATTTTAATTCTGTTGCATTTATGGAACCAGTGCAGTGATCAAAACGCTTCTGTGTAATACAAAATGTGAAATGCAAAATCACTCTTAGAACTTTAACTCATTTTTCAACAAAGCAAAGCTGTTTACTCTTGTTACAATTAGTTTTTTCAATCCATATCCTAAGGTTATCATAGGAACACTACTGTGCTTTTTATTTATCATTATAAATCAGGATCCTATGTCTAGAAAGTATGTGGTAATGAATCATTGAATGAAACAAAATATTAATATATGAAACAGGGAAAGTGTAAATATTGGGAGACAGAACGATAATTTTTTAGTGTGTATTACTGTTCATCTAAAATATCCCAAACAAAACATCTTGTGTGAATCATAAAAAAAAGAAAACAAAAATAGAATTAAATATTCATCCTTTGAATTAGGAGTGAGAATTGATTTTAAAGTCAGGGCAGAAATCCCAGAAGAAAACTATCAAAGGATTTGATCACAAAAAGACTAGGTTCTGTAAAAAGAGTGAACATCAGACATTGACTACTACTGCTGTGATCTCAGTGGATTATCTGTTTGCTCTTGTATGTGGGTATGTGGGGGTTCTAGTAGAAAAGTAGTCAAAGAACACAAAAAAGGAAGAACCAGTGAGGAAAAGATGGGAAATGCTTAATTTTTTACTCTGAAACCTTACATCTTGGAGAGGATGGATGAAGGAATGAAGGTGCTAATATTGTTGTTTGAGATATTTGTGCTTTAATTTTCTAGTTTTATTTTCTTTGCACTTTAAGAGAATTTGTAAACTACTCTTATTCATACTCCCTCCCCCCATTTCTTCCAAGAGCTACTTGGTCAGAGCTATTCTCATTGCTCTTTAAAAAATGTGTGACTTGCCTTAGTTTGTCAAATTAGCAGTAGAGCATATGAATCAAATATAAAAATGAAAAGATCACATATAATCCTATCACCATTATAAACCAATTCTAAATGTCTTCAATTAATTTCCTCATTTGTAGGTATAGATTTAAATTATTTAAAAATTATCAAAGTAAAGATGTACATATGATTAGGAAGCAAACTTTTATAGACGCTTATAAATAGTAGTAGTTCTGTGACGATAAAAGTGCCCTTTTACTCCAGCTTCTTTCTCCAACTCACCATCTGTAAACTGTCCATTTAACAGTTCACAGTAACATTTGTGTTCTGTTCTCTAACCTTGAATTCTCACCTGTCATACCTACAGGGTGATTATAAGACTGTTGCATAAATCCAATATGATCTGATTTCTGTTAGTATAACAGAATAAAATAAAAAATATTCTGTTAGTATTTTTTTCAATTTCAGGATTTTTTGTAGTCTCTCAGAGAATTACAAGTGTAATTGTCAAGTGAGAATTCCTCCAAAATACTATGTGTGTGTTTGCTTCAAGTTGGAACTGTAGGCTTTTGAACAATTTGCTCACCCCGAAGCTTCCTTTTTTCCTTATTGGGAGAAGAAACATCGACTTTTACCATTAGATTACCTTTCAAAGTGCAAAGGTAATTTTCTCAGAAAATTTGCCATTTTAAAGGATCCCAGAGGTACTGATTTTGTAAATCATGATCTTGATATAATAATTTCAGGTAGCATTGGGAGTTACTCTCCTTTTGGACCTGAAAGTGGTTTTTATTATTTCTACTTTGATACTTGGCGATGCAGTGACTTGGTGCCCATTGAGCTGCTGTTTAATTTGAGTGATTATAGCTCTGCATTGTATTTGGTTTACGAGACGTCCATAATTTTAAATGTGCTGAAAATGAGGTCCCTACTAAATCTCCGACGATCCTATAAAACAAAGCAAAAACTCTATAGGACTTCCAAAGTTAATCTTTAGAAAGATAACCTCATATTTCTCTATAAAGAGTGCCTATGAGATTTGAACTGCTGACCTTGAGATTAGCAGCCTAGCACAGAACCTGCTACTTCACCAAGGCTCCACAGTGACTATTGAAAAGAATAGAACTGCTCCATAGGGTTTTTGAGACTAAATTATGAGAACCAACCACCCTCATCTTTCTTCCTGTTTGGGGAGTGCCTAGTGAGTTTGAACCACCAACCTAGAGATTAACAGCCTAATAACATAGCCCACTATGCTATGAGGACTCCTATCTAACAAAGGACTTACTAGGATTTTAATGATTTGGTTAGGTGCATGCCACTGTGATCAGCAATAGCTCTTTATGTTACAGGTTGGTTTTATATTCTCACCCTAGCGCTCACTGCGCCCGGCATGGGATTGTGCACTTGGTGCCTCTTTTGTAGAAAATGAATCCAGGGCAAGACGAAAGGCAGGATCTCACAGAAAAGTGAACCTTGGCAGACAGGCAAAGCTGCCTGCAGCTGTGGGCACATCAAAGGAAGCTGCACATCCTAGGAAGACACTCTTGTCCTGGGCTCAAACAGATGGCTCCCAACAGGCGACCCCAACCTAGGAGTTGTTCCACCCCCCTGGATGTGGCAGTGCCTACTCCAGAGATGAGAATGACTGATTGATGGCAAGCGCTTTGGAAGTGTGAACCTGTGAGCAAGATTTCCCAAGGACAGAGGAGGGAGCTTAGTCCTGTGGGCTGCACCCAGGCGAGTGGTGCCATGGGTGGGGTACCTGGCAGGCCTGGGCTGAAACCGCTCCCTGCTCTGTCATTCCAATTGTACTACCTAAGCTTTCAGGGCTACATGAGTTGTGGATCCAGCTTTATGTAACTTTTAGACCTGGAATTTCAAGGGAGTTTTTAACCCCTTGAAGCCTTTTTATAGACCCACCAAAGGATTCCAGAACCCTAAGTGCTGTAGAGACAGGTGATGGTGCTATTAGGGGTTCCGTAATAACTGAGATATGGGGAAAGAAGCTAGCATGTTGGGACACTGCAGGCTGGAATAGAAGCAAACAGGTTTCCTGAGCCTTTTTTTTCTTAATTCCTTTACCTTAGCAATGCATTGATTGATGCAATAGTTTAGGGTGATTAGCAAAGTGATTTTGTGTGAGAATAATTTGTAAATTTGTTGCCTCCAACAGGTAGTGTTTTCCAAATTTAGAGAGAGAAAGAGAAAACAGCTCCCCCCCTTTGAATATATGGATTGGTTAATAATCCAAAAGTCATATGTATATAAATTTGCTTTTGGCGGGAGGTGAAATGGGATAGGTAACCATGTGAGAGATTAATTTTAAAACTGTCAAGAAAAATCACTAACAAATTTAAACTTTGCATGTGTAGGGAAAAGCTCCTGTGTAGCAAGGAGTTTCACAGTAAGTAACTAGTTGTAGTAGCCTTAACGTGGTCTCATTCGTTGACGTGCATCTTGCCTAGCTTGCTAAGGACCTCAGTTTGCTTATTTATAAAATGACAGTAATTAGGTATTTCTCCACATTGATCTCTCGAGAAGAAGTCGATTACTGCTACAAAGTGCAGATGGCTACAATAAAATATTTTCCAGAGACAAGCTAGTATAAAACTGCAAGTTGTCATAGCTGAATGCTGGGGCCCATATACGTGAATGTCCTTGTCTTATTCTGGTATTGCATTACTAGCTTATTTGTCAATGTGAAATAGACGATTGATTTTTGTTCTGAATGTTTCATGTGAAATTTTGCACATCAAATTAGCTTACTGCTCAGTGATTCATTATACAAAATGTTTTCATGCCACTGGCTCTCTGTCATGTGTCAGCACTCAGGAGTTCTGCCACCTGCCCATTTCCATCCATGCGGTTTCCCTGTCCCTCCTTCACTTCTCATTGTGGCTGTGGATAAGTGCCGATTGTTTGGTCTCATATAGCTGATTGTTTAAAGCGGCACATTCTTTTCACGTGTGTTGTCTATTTTATAGGGCAATCTATTATTTGGCTGAAAAGGCACACACACACACACACACACACACACACGGAATGGCTTCAGTGCCAGGTTTAAAAACAAACACACATACACACCCTCCCCTCCACCCCCTTTAAACAGACACACACAGCACACACCACCATTCCCGGGAATGGCTTCAGTGCCAGGTTTAAAAAGTATCTTAGGGTGATAGTGTTGGGGGTTTCTCTAGACTCATTAGGAAGTCTGGTCTATTTTTTATGAATTTGAATTTGGTTATACGTTTTCTTACCCGGCTAACTGGGTCCTTCTCTGTTGCATCTGGTCAGAATATGAGCTATGTAGTAGTAGCCAAGGACCATCTAGTTCTTTCTGGCCTCAGGCTTCGAAAAAGCTGTCATGTGGGCTATTTGTCCTGGAGTGTTGGGGGTCCTTTACTTTCCTTCGCTCCAGATGGAAAGAGAACCGTAGCTGTACCTTAGGTGCACTTGCAAGCTTTAAAGACCTCCCAGACCCTACTCAACAAACTAGGATATAAAACCTTATGAAGTAAGTTATGCCAAGTGACCTCGTTTTCCCACAATACTGTAGTGTTCTGAGCCTTCAAACTCTGCCTTCCATCTCTGTACATGACGATGGAGTTTAAAAGTTCCACCCTCACTGCCATGGAGTCAGCTCTGACCCAGTGACAGACTAGAACAGCCCTATAGGCTTTCCAAGGTGGACAGTCCACGAGAACAGACTGCCTCCTCTTTCTCCTGCAGAGCCACTGATGAATTTGAACTGCTGACCTTGAGGTTAGCAGCCAAACACGTAACCCACTATGCCACCTAGGCTCCTTCACTTGCTCAAAGATTTTTTTTTCTCTCTCTTCTTCTTAAACTTGTGATTTAGATGAAAGTTTACAGTGCAAATTCATTTTCTATTCAACAACTATTCTGATTTTTATCACTACAAATAAGACCTGCTTGTTTTTAACTTCACGGAAATTCAATTGTACACGTGCATATGTCTATTTGTGTTCCTGCTCTTATTTTTCTGTTATATACCTAGGAGGGTTCCTGAATCATAAGATATTTTTATTTCTATCCTTTGAG